TACATTAATCCAAATTGACATATCTTGGAAAACCAAGTGAAATTTTGAGTTAGCTAGGCACTTAAAAATAAATTACTGCAGATATTTTGATTTATGTGGTTAGTGATTTAACTTCCAATTATGTAAATAATGAAAAATATATTTTAGAGCGGGGGGGGGGGAAATTTTTACACACTTATCATCCCTAGTTTTTTCACACAAGTAATTTCACAATAGGTTAAAATTCCTTTTTTTTACTGATAACTTCTTTTAAAACGTTATGTTGAAATACGTACAATACGTAATCTTTTTGAGCTTTTTATGTTATTTTGCCGTTATATATTTTGATAAGTAACAGCAATTAATTGATTAAAATTTTAATGATTTCTTAAAATTTCGTAAAACTAAAGTTATTGATCTGTAATATATACTTATTGAAAGCGTTTTTATATGCCCACTATAAATAACCCGATTCATGTAATAAATACATTTAAACGTATTATTTACGCCCCCAGGAGTCGTTAGATGAAACTTTGGCACACAATAGTACGCTGTATTGTTCAATGACTTGTACGATAAAATTTGTCATTTATTTATAAAGAAAAACCTCTGCATTTGCATTTTTTACAATTGAGCCAATAGTTCTGTAACAATAAGAGCATAGTCATCACGTACGTGTCTTCCAATTTTTGCATTAAATACATATGTATGTTCTTACGTATTTGTGTTAAATACACACATACATATGTTCAAATACATTTGCAATAGTATGCGTGTAAGTCATTAGTATTTCCCGGTTTCTGTTTTGGTGCCAGTGTTCTATTTCGAGTGTTAACCTTAGTTCTGAAGTTCACGTTCGTTATTTTCATTTGCAGCCGGTCCGCTATAAAACCGATTTCCTCCTATTTAGTGCTCGTTTGATGATGATTCCTTATTAATTGTGCTATCGTAATTATATGTTTATATTATAAATCAATGAGGCCGCTATTTATGTTGGTCGTTTCCGTACTAAAATCGACGCATCCTCCGCCGCAATGATGGTATATCTTCCTTTTGTAAGTGTATGTATTATTACTTGTAATATTTTTATTTTATTTATTTGGTGTTTGTGATTATTTTGTTTCATCTCTGGGATAATGAATTAAAATGTCAGGCATGAAAGGCAACTCTCAAAAAGCTTAACATTTCACTTTAGTTGTATCATCCTCTTTTCTATTAATTTTGGAATCAAGTACGTAATACTTTCCAATAGGTACGTCTTAGTATAACTAAAACTATAAAATAAGCGTAAAAGAATCTGAGTTATTTCTGATACGTATTTGTTTTTGTATGAACGAGCAAGTGAATAAATAAACTACATATTTAAATTCCTTTGAGTAAAGACAGATAAGTCGAAAGGTATTTATTCTTAATTAGAAAAGTCCTTGTTGAACGTTAACTAATCGTATAGTAAGTAGCTAATCTTTAATTGAACGCAGCATTGTTTAGAGATCCGCACGCTAACGCGAAAGTTCCGCTGCTCCATCCCTGCGAATAGATGCAGCGGCATACCATCGTATTTACATCGACAGCGGAGCCACTATAGCGTTTTGCTAATCAGGAACACTGCAGTGAAGTCGTATAAAATAGACACTAACCAAAAAGCTTGTTGAATTTGTACATCAGATTTTTGAGTAAATCGGAGCACATTTTCTTATATGATATATAGGCGCCTGGGCCCATTTCTAGATAAGGGTGGAGGGTAAAAATCGAAAAAAAAAATACTTAAAATACTCCACATTTCGGGAAAAAAAGTGGCAAAAAAAATTCATGACCTATGCATGAATAAAAAAGAAGTGAACTCTATCGGGTCTAACAAAATGGAATATTTTCTTTTTGATGTGTACATCAACGAGAACGGAAAAATAGTGGCAGAAATTTTGGTCTGGCAATTGTTTAGTAATTTGACGTCCAAATGTCGAAAATTAGCCGACAATTTTTTCGATCCCCCCACCCCCTTATCTCGAAATGGGCCCAAATTTCGCCTATGTCATATAAGAAAAAAGTTCTTTAAATTACTTAAAAAACTGATGAACCAGAGACAGAATATTGAATACCTACCATTTTCGTCGTGAAAATATCTTGAATGTTCCTCTTCAAAAAACTTTCGCGGCGATGCGGTGTAAACTAAGTAGACTGTTCGATGATCTATCAGATCTTTACTGCGTGCTGATGTGAAAGAAAAATCAAATGTGTCCATACGCGAATGCATTATTTAGCAGAAGTGAGAAGTCGTTCATCTAGTTTTAGGAAATTTGTTTTATTTAAATCACAGTTAATATGAAATCTAGATGACATTACGGTAGCTTCTGTGGAAGCCCCTGTAATAATTTTTACACAATTCAACTCTTAAGAAAGGAAATTCTTCCTGTATACAAAATGTAAGGCGAATTCTTTTACTCCGTGAATTGCATTGGCGCTTTTTTTGGTTTGAATCCTTTAAAACATTATCTTATACCTAAACATTTCTCATATTCAATAAGAAATACTCTTTGCATACTTTACTTATAGTACTACAGCTTTGAAGATGCTACGTTCTCATTTTTGTTTACATAAACCAAACTTAATTAAGTTGCAAAGTAACCAATTATGCAAAGTAACCAATTATTATTAATTCGTAGTGTTTCTGAAATAAATAGCAAACTTGCAGGAGGTTATAAGGCACTCTAAAAGAAGAAAATTATGTAAATGTTTAGTGGTCCGAATGTTTACCGTTTTCGAAAAAAATTTATTTGAAATTACAGTCAAGGCCCAGTCCGGCCCTGGTAGGGAAATACAACATTCCAACGCCGTATTCCATCAATTGTAGTACCCGTGTTGTACGACTATTTCTTTTATATTTTGTGTTCTTAATACCATGTCGATGTGTACTTTGAACAGTATTGCATTCCACCAGCGATGAACAAAGTAGTTGTTTAATTAATTGTTATCTCAGTGGGCGTCTAAAGATTATTATGTGTATTAGGTTAGTAATAAGCTGTTGATATTTATTTATTAGATGTTCCACAACCGTCACTATTTACATTTTTCATCGATGTAGTTGCTTAATTATCGCAATTTCGGTACGTTGCCAGTTCACGCCTAGGGCCGACTTCAGATTACAATTTTGCCTAGTTTTCTATATTTTTTGACTCTCACTGTTTGTTTACCATGTGATTCCTTATTATATCTAGTTAACACCATTTATGATTGCCACTTATTTTAGAAACACCCATAATAATAGCAATGAGATAATTTGTTTACTATTATAATCAAGTTTTTTTTTTTATTTTGTTAACAAACCAGTCTGAAATCGTTTAAAAATAAAAATCGTCGGATGTTTTGTTTATTTCAAGATACGTAAGCAAAAAAGCAAATTGTCATTGAGAGTGTATTCTAGTTGCTTAAACCACAAAGTGACCAATCAACTTTGCTAATTTGAAATTAATTCAATTTTAATTAATACCTACCTATTAATATATATGTACGTGTACTATAGTATAAAAATATTGATATTTTGACCGTAAACTCTATTTTACGTTTTTCGTTTATCATTCTTAACTTGTGTACTTTTGTGTATTTAAGAAGTTTGATACATAACATCTATTTAAGTACATATTTGTATAGTTATCCTGCTGGTGATTGATACACATAAATTGTATTCGATAGGACAAAATGCTCATTACGTTTTATGATAATACTTATATATTTACTTATTTTTTGAATATAAATTGCATACTTTCCAATATTAATTATCAGTTTACCAAAATAGGCGTTCCGCAAACATTTTTGGCATTTAGTTCAATATACGATAGATATTCCCTAATTGTATTTCATTGCTAACTAATTCTGTTTCGTGGTTAATGCAACAACGTGCCCAATTCCCACAATCCGCATTCAAGTGTATATGTAAATTAGAAGTAATGGTACATACCTATTATTCACATACAGCGGACACAATCTATATAAATGTCAAAGCTGATCTGCAAATTTACTGACGATGAGCGGCATGGTCACTGATTAGCAGTCGGAGTAGGTAGAACACTGCCGGTTCGATTCCGGGCCCGTTTGCTCCGGTCCAAGTTTTTCTGTGATTTCCTTGGATGACTTAGGCAAATACACAGTAATATTCCACCGATAATCTTTTACTCTCTTTTGTCTTTGTTTTGTGCGTGTCATCTTTCTCATCCCAACAATCACCACCACCACCACCTATTCCCACGATTTCTAAGAAGAGGCTGAGAGAGTCTTCAGGCTTTGCCCAGAGAAGCTGCCCGCCCATCAGCATTAGGAGTTGGTAAAAATGAAGCACTCGAAGTTTAATTTAACTTTTTTCTGTAAATTAGGCATTCTGAAACACGCCTAGGCAATTAAGAAAGCAAGACTGTTTTCCTTAGGGCTAACTAATTGGTGTAAGAGATGATGGATCTTCAATTAATACTTAGTTTTTTCTTATGCACTAGAATTTCTCGAAGTAACCCTATGCAAATCAGCCCAAACTAAATTAATGTAAAACAGTTTTAATGTCTGTCTTGCTGGCTATAATCAATCGTCTGTAAAAGGGGTTTTATTTTTCTGTTATGGTATTTTCTTAAGCATGTTAGATTTAAATATTGTTATACTTATAAATATAACGAGCATCCTGTCGACAAAAACAAAAATTAAAAAATTTGTCAAGTTCGGCACAAACAACGTTTGGGGTCCTCGGCTTCGCCATTAAAAGAGTTAAGATCGGAACTTGTGTCAAACGCCGTACAAGGTGTAATCAAATTACGTTCTTTGGTATTGAATTGTTGTGCTTATGGATGTCGGCAATCAAATTTATTAGACATGGTTTTCAGAAACAGCTTGGGGTAAATATTCCAAATATAGTAACCAGAGATGCCAGGTCAAAAGGAAAACAGGCTACTTATCCATTTCCATTTTATTTGTTCTTGTTAACTATTTATATAATATCTAAAAAAAAATTGCATTCTTATTAATTCCATTGCCTTTTGTTTCAGGTCCAGGAAGGTCCACCGCCGAAGCCAGCGCGACACCGTTCACCTACGGCATCTGCTGTTCATACGAAAACTGATATGGACGATTCCAATCATTTGGTACAGCACGAAGAAGCTGGTGATACAACGGCAGAAGGGGATGAGTCTGATCTTTGTTACGGATCATCGTTTATCTCAAACGGCAGTTCCGAACACGGCATACAATATGATGAACTCGATGCTGCTTCCAGGACCAATCCTGCCATCGAACACCTTTCAAACAAGATTAAACGTACAAAAGACTGCATACGATTAGAACAAACGCTTAGGGATGGTAAGACTGTGAAAGCCTTAAC